ACTAGCAGAGCTACACCACCACTACCTCTTCCTTCCCTCTCTTTCCTCATAACATAATAGTCCTGTGGGAACATTGCATTTGTTATGATTTTCGTTAGCTTTATTTCTGTGAGAGCTATTATGTCTGGGTTTTCCTCTAGCACCCATTCTCCAAGTTCATTTGCTTTATTTGTAATTCCATCTATGTTGCCAGTCGGCCGAGCGGACAGCACACTGGACTTGTGATCCTGTGGTCCTGAATTCGATCCCAGGCACCGGCGAGAAACAATGAGCAGAGTTTCTTTCACCCTATGCCCCTGTTACCTGGCAGTAAAATAGGTACCTTGGTGTTAGTCAGCAGTCACAGGCTGCTTCCTGGGGGTGGAGGCCTGGTCGAGGACCGGGCCGCGGGGACACTAAAAAGCCCCGAAATCATCTCAAGATAACCTCAAGATATGTTAGTGTACATTGCCTTGAGGCTCACTTTCTTCTGTCCCTTCTCAAATCTCCTCCTTGGTGAGTGTTCTGCTGGTGGGGGAAGCTGTTCCATGGGTGTGAGGATTTGTGAGGTGGATGACAGGGTCTTAGAGGATACTGGGATGAGGGGTGGGGGTCTAGTGAAGGGGGATGGACAGGGAGGGCATGGGGTGAAAGGGGAGGGAGGACAGGAAGGAAAAGGGGGGAGGGGGGACATGGAGGGAGGAGGGGAGGGGTAGAAGGGTTTGGGGTAGGGGGGTTTTCTATGCAGAGGAGGGTGGTGGGGTTGCCCTCCCCGCTGGTGTTACTTGTATGTATGGGGAGAGGTTGGAATGGAATACAGCCAGTCTTAATGTGAGTTCAATATATTCTCTGATATTGTTGTGCAAAATTCCTTGTGTTGCTCTGACATCAACCTTCCGACCTCACTTTGTCTCATATCACCTGAAACGGGTGGAGTAGCGTAGTCGAGGAACGCACGTTAAGTGACGATTACAGTACGTCTGGGTGATTACTGTAATTCATCTCTGGTTGTGTATAAGTACACGTAATGACACATTTAGTTAGGCTGTACTATATCGTGAGTTGTGCTATGGTTAAATATTATACCAATTACTGATATAGACTTTCCATGCGTATACTTTGATATCGTTTCAGAAGGAAACCAGTGAGTCTGAGTGAGTTATTAGGGTAGTGTGATTGACCCTGGGTAATTAGTGAGTGATTATTAATTACGTTGATATTGTGTTGTGTTGTAATTTTGTGCTGTGTTATTAAGTGACTACTGTGAGTGAAGTGTAAAGTTGTTACTGTTGTTTCTGATTTGTCTGTGTGACAAGCAATTATATAATCTTATATTAATAATTGAAGAATCAGCGACGTATTCCTTGTTGTGAATGGCTGTACATTGAGGCAGTGTAATTAACGTAATTAGTACTTGACTAATTCTTGTTTGGCAAACTGTCTTAAGTCATAGCGTTGAATTAACGTAATTCGTCTTGATTAATTAACTGTCCGTGTGACAGTAGTTAGTGTAATTACTCACTGATTTTTAATTGCCTTTGTGGAAGAGTAATTACTGTGGAGAATTATTGTTTTGAGTGTTTGGCTCTCTGAGTGACAAATTGTAATTAATGTAAAATACCTTTGATTGAGTGACCGTCTTGAAGACAGTAATTAATGTAATTAATTAACGTAATATATTAAAATAATTAACGTCATTAATTTTATTGTTTTTTTTGATTAAATTGATAAATTGTGATCAATTATTCTTGTCTGATAGAACGTTAACGTAATTGTTGTTGTTCTGATTGTCGTCCACAGAGGCACGTGTTAACGTAATTGTTGTTGTTTTGATTGTCGTCCACAGAGGCACCTGTTAACGTAATTGTTGTTGTTCTGATTGTCGTCCACAGAGGCACGTGTTAACGTAATTGTTGTTGTTTTGATTGTCGTCCACAGAGGCACCTGTTAACGTAATTGTTGTTGTTCTGATTGTCGTCCACAGAGGCACGTGTTAACGTAATTGTTGTTGTTCTGATTGTCGTCCACAGAGGCACGTGTTAACGTAATTGAGATTGTTTACAGAAGACTGTCTCAGTGACCAGTCTGGTTGTGTCGTGTTGTTTTGTTGTTAAATTGTTTTGACTACAATTAATTTTATTTCCATCTTGAGCCCGAGTGAGCATCCGATGTTCAGTAACAATTTGACCAGCCGAGAGCAGTACGGACAACAGTCTGGCTATACTGGCTTTGATTAGCTGTCACAGTGTCACTTGGGACAATTGACATAACGTTAAATTGTTGTGGGGTGTGTTAGTATTAAGTTTGTTAATGTGTTATTTGTTGCCAAAAGAAAATTGTCTTTATGTTAGCATCTTCCAATACTATTGCCCCTTAACTCATGCTGGTACAAACTATACTATTCCTTGCATTTAATGAGGGTCTGCTTCTGGACCTACTTCGAACTTTCGAACACACACTCGACACACATTCGAACCTAATTCCTAACCTAATCACAGAATACAAATTCGGCGTGAGGACCTGCAGTAACCCCTAAGATTGTAACAGGCAAATAAGGAGGTAAAGGACCTAGTGGATGGGAGATACCAAGGAATTGGGCTCCAGCGGATGCCTTCGCCTTTTATTTCAGTTTTAAAGTATAATCTCACATCTGGCACTTAACGTGTGGGCTCTGTGCAGTCATTTCTAACTGAGTTCACTTGTAAAGAGTAATACAAAATTTCTCACAATAACGTTCTCCAATAAGGAACTCCACTCTGAGATCTACACTCGATGGCCACCGAACTTTCAGGCCTATTCCTTCACCATCCAAATCCTCTTCAAGATTTTCATCTCCTCATCCCTCTCCCTCTCCCTAACCTTTCCAAACCCTTTGAAAATCGGACTTTGGACTTAGCCAGTTGCTGTGTTATAATGTCCTGGTACAGTTTAAAGTGGTCAGGTCTCCCCCAGTTTAGACGTTTGTGCTTTAACCTTCAACATGAGGCAGTTGAAAAATGGCCATGCCTGCCTATGCAGAAAAAATTAATTATAAAATTATTAAATTGTATGAAAAACATAAGAAAAAATATATTAATATGTACCTTTTTTTTACTGAGGGGAGAAGGTGTTAAAGGTTGGGCGACAGTCATGTTATCTGGCGAGTGTCCACACGACGCTGACGGCTGAGCTGTGCCACACACCACACCTTTATTCACCTAGTTGTGCTTGCGGGGGTTGAGCTCTGGCTCTTTCGGCCCGCCTCTCAACTGTCAATCAATCAAATGTTACTAACTACTAAAAATTTTGTTTTCTTCACACACACACACACACACACACACACACACACACACACACACACACACACACACACACACACACACACACACACACACACACACACACACAACACATACACACACTCAAACACACACACACAAATTCTTATCAAATTCAAACTCCATATCTTAAGAAGCACATCAACAAACTGGAAAAGGTGCAAAGACATGCTACTAAGTGGCTCCCAGAACTGAAGGGCAAGAGCTACGAGGAGAGGTTAGAGGCATTAAATATGCCAAAACTAGAAGACAGAAGAAAAAGAGGTGATATGATCACTACATACAAAATAGTAACAGGAATTGATAAAATCGATAGGGAAGATTTCCTGAGACCTGGAACTTTAAGAACAAGAGGTCACAGATTTAAACTAGTTAAACACAGATGCCGAAGAAATAAAAGAAAATTCACTTTCGCGAACAGAGTGGTAGACGGTTGGAACAAGTTAGGTGAGAAGGTGGTGGAGGCCAAGACCGTCAGTAGTTTCAAAGCGTTATACGACAAAGAGTGCTGGGAAGACGGGACACCACGAGCGTAGCTCTCATCCTGTAACTACACTTAGGTAATTACACTTAAGTAATTACACACACACTCAGGAAGCAGCCCGTAGAAGCTGTCTAACTCTTAGGTACCTGTTTACTGCTTGGTAACAGGTGCATCAAGGTGAAGGAAACTCTGCCCATTTGTTTTTCCGCTGGCTGCCGGGATCGAACCTCGGTCTCTAGGTCCACGAGTCTACAGCGCTGTCCACTCAGCCAGCCAGCCCCTTGGCTGGTGATTTAGCAGTTGTGATTTAATTTAGCAGAGGAACATGCACAGGGCACCACAGGTGCCCTGTGCATAACAACACCACGTGAGGACAGGAGGCAGAATGTTACTCAGTAGTCTTGCTTCATACAACTCCACATACACATTGCTTAAAACTGGAGAAAGAAGGTTACCCGGATAGTCATTCCTTATTTTTGACAAAATTCATTATAAAATGCTAAATTTAGAGTTAGTAACACTTAGTTTTATAACTTCTTTAACGTAGGAACTGGAAGGGGCAAATCATATTTTAAGAGTTCATCAGATAAACATCTTAGTAAGTCATCAACAGGAGCTTTAGTCAATAAAGAAGTTATATCAAAGCTAACCAAACATTATGATTACAGAGCTCTTTCTTATTACATAATTTGTCAACAAAATCAACATTATTCTATAAATATGAATTAGAAACATTACTGACAATAGGATTTAGAACTTGAACTAGCCATTTTGACACTTTATATGACACTGAACTTATGAAACTAATTATTGATTTATGGGTTTTAACCAAGTCATAAATATATTATAATTCTCCATATGTTAATATTATATGGCAATGGTATGGTAATCCATGTTATTCCTATATAATAATTATAACTCAGCATATGGTAATGATGGATTTACTCTCATGATTTTTATATTCAAATGTTATTACCTTTCAATAAATTTGTCATTTTGTTAAAACTACAATTAACAGCATCTAATGGACGCTGTTAACAGTAGTTCTGTTCAGTTTCCTTAACAAACTTAAGGTAAGGTAAGAAAAGTAATATGAGAGGTATATTTTGGTTAAGCAACTAACACAGCGGTTATGGCATCTTGCAGGCAGCTCAACACGCAGCAGTGATTGTAACATTATCAAGTGTTTTGGCCTGTTATAACAGTAATGTTTCCCATTGACAGCAACGTGGGTGGGAGGTGGCTACATCAACGGGTCGGCCGAGGCGGTGTTCAGTAGTGGCCTAATATGGTGCCAGGCGCCCTTTGGTTACGCCATCAGCCTCATCCTGGGTAAGTACTCACCACACTGGCAGTGACACTGTCACCACTACCTCACCTGGCGCCAGCCTCATCCTGGGTAAGTACTCACCACACTGGCAGTGACACTGTCACCACTACCTCACCTGGCGCCAGCCTCATCCTGGGTAAGTACTCACCACACTGGTTGTGACACTGTCACCACTACCTCACCTGGCGCCAGCCTCACCCTGGGTAAGTACTCACCACACTGGTTGTGACACTGTCACCACTACCTCACCTGGCGCCAGCCTCACCCTGGGTAAGTACTCACCACACTGGTTGTGACACTGTCACCACTACCTCACCTGGCGCCCGCCTCATCCTAGGTAAGTACTCACCACACTGGTTGTGACACTGTCACCACTACCTCACCTGGCGCCCGCCTCATCCTAGGTAAGTACTCACCACACTGGCAGTGACACTGTCACCACTACCTCACCTGGCGCCAGCTTCATCCTGGGTAAGTACTCACCACACTGGTTGTGACACTGTCACCACTACCTCACCTGGCGCCAGCCTCATCCTGGATAGATAACTCACTGTTATCTACCCAGTTCAGCAAGGGTCGTGTACCTGTCAGCACTGGACCATATCTAGGGGCAGGTTACCATGCATGTATTCGGTACACCAGGATGCTCCTAGTAGACACAATTTAATCAAATGGAAAAGTAAACAAATGTATATATAAAGTATATATAAATTCCTCTTTATATGGTATACACACTCACTGCAATATAATCCTACTTCAAGGTTTGGCTATAACAACGTATGTCTCCCAGATAATATTATAACCAAAGACACAAACAAAAGAAATGTTACTAAACTTTAAAATTATGTGTTAAGGCTTGACTACCCCCCCCCCCCCACCTGCGTCTTACAGGAGTTGACTAACACACTACCTACGACAAAAACCACTTTCAAACAAGACACAATCATACTAATATAATGTTTCGCACATTCTAATTGGCTAGAATAAACATTTACTTTTAAAGCGATACAACAGCTGACCATGTTGGTGGGGGAGGGGGAGGCCAGCTAAGGACATAGTGGTGAGGTTGGGCCCAGCCTGGAGCATAGTGGTGAGGTTGGGCCCAGCCTGGAGCATAGTGGTGAGGTTGGGCCCAGCCTGGAGCATAGTGGTGAGGTTGGGCCCAGCCTGGAGCATAGTGGTGAGGTTGGGCCCAGCCTGGAGCATAGTGGTGAGGTTGGGCCCAGCCTGGAGCATAGTGGTGAGGTTGGGCCCAGCCTGGAGCATAGTGGTGAGGTTGGGCCCAGCCCGGAGCATAGTGGTGAGGTTGGGCCCAGCCCGGAGCATAGTGGTGAGATTGGGCCCAGACTGGAACATAGTGGTGAGGTTGGGCCCAGCCTGGAGCATAGTGGTGAGGTTGGGCCCAGCCCGGAGCATAGTGGTGAGGTTGGGCCCAGCCCGGAGCATAGTGGTGAGGTTGGGCCCAGCCTGGAACATAGTGGTGAGGTTGGGCCCAGCCTGGAGCATAGTGGTGAGGTTGGGCCCAGCCTGGAGCATAGTGGTGAGGTTGGGCCCAGCCTGGAGCATAGTGGTGAGGTTGGGCCCAGCCCGGAGCATATTGGTGAGGTTGGGCCCATCCTGGAGCATAGTGGTAAGGTTGGGCCCAGCCTGGAGCATATTGGTGAGGTTGGGCCCAGCCTGGAGCATAGTGGTGAGGTTGGGCCCAGCCTGGAGCATAGTGTTGAGGTTGGGCCCAGCCTGGAGCATAGTGGTGAGGTTGGGCCCAGCCCGGAGCATAGTGGTGAGGTTGGGCCCAGCTTGGGGCATAGTGGTGAGGTTGGGCCCCAGCCTGGAGCATAGTGGTGAGGTTGGGCCCAGCCTGGAGCATAGTGGTGAGGTTGGGCCCAGCCTGGAGCATAGTGGTGAGGTTGGGCCCAGCCCGGAACATAGTGATGATGTTGGGCCCAGCCTGGAGCATAGTGGTGAGGTTGGGCCCAGCCTGGAGCATAGTGGTGAGGTTGGGCCCAGCCTGGAGCATAGTGGTGAGGTTGGGCCCAGCCCGGAACATAGTGATGAGGTTGGGCCCAGCCTGGAGCATAGTGGTGAGGTTGGGCCCAGCCTGGTGCATAGTGGTGAGGTTGGGCCCAGCCTGGAGCATAGTGGTGAGGTTGGGCCCATCCTGGAGCATAGTGGTGAGGTTGGGCCCAGCCCGAAGCATAGTGGTGAGGTTGGGCTCATCCTGGAGCATGGTGGTGAGGTTGGGCCCTGCCCGGAGCATACTGATGAGGTTGGGCCCATCCTGGAGCATAGTGGTGAGGTTGGGCCCAGCCGGGAGCATAGTGGTGAGGTTGGGCCCAGCCTAGAGCATAGTGGTGAGGTTGGGCCCAGCCTGGAGCATGGTGGTGAGGTTGGGCCCAGCCTGGAGCATGGTGGTGAGGTTGGGCCCAGCCCGGAGCATAGTGGTGAGGTCTGGCCCAGCCTGGAGCATAGTGGTGAGGTTGGGCCCAGCCCGGAACATAGTGATGATGTTGGGCCCAGCCTGGAGCATAGTCGTGAGGTTGGGCCCAGCCTGGAGCATAGTGGTGAGGTTGGGCCCAGCCCGGAGCATAGTGGTGAGGTTGGGCCCAGCTTGAGGCATAGTGGTGAGGTTGGGCCCAGCCTGGAGCATAGTGGTGAGGTTGGGCCCAGCCTGGAGCATAGTGGTGAGGTTGGGCCCAGCCCGGAACATAGTGATGATGTTGGGCCCAGCCTGGAGCATAGTGGTGAGGTTGGGCCCAACCTGGAGCATAATGGTGAGGTTAGGCCCAGCCTGGAGCATAGTGGTGAGGTTGGGCCCAGCCCGGAACATAGTGATGAGGTTGGGCCCAGCCTGGAGCATAGTGGTGAGGTTGGGCCCATCCTGGAGCATAGTGGTGAGGTTGGGCCCAGCCCGAAGAATAGTGGTGAGGTTGGGCCCATCCTGGAGCATGGTGGTGAGGTTGGGTCCTGCCCGGAGCATAGTGATGAGGTTGGGCCCATCCTGGAGCATAGTGGTGAGGTTGGGCCCAGCCTGGAGCATAGTGGTGAGGTTGGGCCCAGCCTAGAGCATAGTGGTGAGGTTGGGCCCAGCCTGGAGCATGGTGGTGAGGTTGGGCCCAGCCTGGAGCATGGTGGTGAGGTTGGGCCCAGCCCGGAGCATAGTGGTGAGGTTGGGCCCAGCCTGGAGCATAGTGGTGAGGTTGGGCCCAGCCCGGAGCATAGTGGTGAGGTTGGGCCCATCCGGGAGCATAGTGGTGAGGTTGGGCCCAGCCCGGAACATAGTGGTGAGGTTGGGCCCATCCTGGAGCATAGTGGTGAGGTTGGGCCAACCAGCGTGCAGCATAATGATGCAGTGATGATATATAAAAATTAATAATATGAATTATAGAGCCCCGTAGCCCGGAACAGAACCCCGTAGGCCAGTAACAGAGCCCAGTAGGCCCGGAAGGGAGCCCCGTAGGCCTGGAACAGAACCCCGTAGGCCAGTAACAGAGCCCAGTAGGCCCGGAACAGAGCCCCGTAGGCCGGAACAGAGCCCCGTAGGCCAGGAACAGAGCCCCATAGGCCAGGAACAGAGCCCCGTAGGCCAGGAACAGAGCCCCGAACCCAGGAACAGAGCCCCGTAGGCCAGGAACAGAGCCTCGTAGGCCAGGAACAGAGCCCCGTAGGCCAGGAACAGAGCCCCGTTGGCCGGAACAGAGCCCCGAAGGCCGGAACAGAGCCCCGTAGGCCGGAACAGAGCCCCGTAGGCCAGGAACAGAGCCCCGTAGGCCAGGAACAGAGCCCCGTAGGCCAGGAACAGAGCCCCGTAGGCCAGGAACAGAGCCCCGTAGGCCGGAACAGAGCCCCGTAGGCCAGGAACAAAGCCCCGTAGGCCCGGAACAGAGCCCCGTAGGCCCGGAACAGAGCCCCATAGGCCAGGAACAGAGCCCCGTAGGCCAGGAACAGAGCCCCGTAGGCCCGGAACAGAGCCCCGTAGGCCAGGAACAGAGCCCCGTAGGCCAGGAACAGAGCCCCGTAGGCCGGAACAGAGCCCCGTAGGCCAGGAACAAAGCCCCGTAGGCCAGGAACAAAGCCCCGTAGGCCGGAACAGAGCCCCTTAGGCCCGGAACAGAGCCCCATAGGCCAGTAAATAATAACACCCAATAACTGAGGGGGACATGACGGGAGGTCTTTAACGGCATCACTGACCGTGCCGTAACAATATGTGAAAGTACTAGTACTGTATCATGGTCAGTGACCTGACTGTATCATGGTCAGTGACCTGACTGTATCATGGTCAGTGGCCTGACTGTATCGTGGTCAGTGACCTGACTGTATCATGGTCAGTGACCTGACTGTATCATGGTCAGTGACCTGACTGTATCATGGTCCAGCGAGGCCCCCTGAGAGGACCAGGGGGCCCTGGAAATTATCAATTTCAGTCTCCATAGTAAATTTTATAGAGGTGACTTGATCATTAAGTTTGGCTACAAATTCGTCTTTGTTTACATTTGTAGGCCATATACATAAAATATCATCAACATATCAATATGATATGTTGATGATATATCAATATGATATGTTGATGATATATCAATATGATATGTTGATGATATATCAATATGATATGTTGATGATATATCAATATGATATGTTGATGATATATCAATATGATATGTTGATGATATATCAATATGATATGTTGATGATATATCAATATGATATGTTGATGATATATCAATATGATATGTTGATGATATATCAATATGATATGTTGATTATATTTTGTGTATATGGCCTACAGATGTAAACACAGATGAATTTGTAGCCAAACTTAATTATCAAGTCACCTCTATAAAATTTACTATGGAGACTGAAATTTATAAATGTTTGCCATTCCTAGATGTACTTATTCATAGGGAAGACTTTTCACTAAAGTTTAGTGTCTACAGAAAACCTACGAATAATTTATCTTATGTTCATTATTTTTCAGGACATAGATACAATGTGAAAAAATCAAATT